AAATTTCCAACATATGTTGTTAACAATTGTCCAACGATTACCGACAAGTCGTTCACATTTTTGGATGGTTTTTGTGTCATTCTGCTATTTAGGTAGGTAGGAAGGCAGGTAGGTTTGGCAATATAGGTATAATACCAACTTCACTACGTCCAAGGAACCTTATACTTAATAATACTCTATGAGCGTGCTTTACATTATTATAGCTACCCACAACTGTTACTCTTTAATTTTTTCTTATTAATTCTCGGGATCCTTGACGAAGAGTGCTTTGTCGTCTTTTTATTCGAATTTAAATTTTTTTATTTTGGTGTACAAAATATAAACCATTGTAATGCTACGTTTTATAATTATTGTGAGAAATCTTATACCTGTTTATTATTATAAATTAATTATGCGTAAAAGAATAATAAAAAATATTTATATTTATATGGAATTAATATTAATATTTAATTAGATATAAATTACAATAAATATAATAATTTAATATAATATTATGCCAGCAGTACTGCAGTAGTGAATAATTTGTTTGAAAACCCGTAATTAATTAAACTTTCACTTACATGATGAAATACCACCAACTAATATTAATTATTGAAAACTATACTTACAACACTGCACGTGAAAAAAAACTATACGGCTTGCGTCCGGCACGCAATTCATCTAAAATGGTACATTTATCTGACACGGGTCGCAATTCGTGTGCGCTTGTCGTTGTTTAGATAGAGATTAAACATTTTATGGTTCTTTTCTTACAGTACCGAATACTGAGATAGGATCGATTATAACCATTTTTTTTTCTCGACTAGGATTCATTTTTTTCTTTTCACTCGTTTAAAAGGCTATCGAAACGAGTCATCCGTTTTTTAATTACAACAAAATAAGAAAATCGTTACCTACATGAGAAATCGAGTGAATATCAAATGTTGTAAAAATATAAATTTCAAACACTCATAAAAATTTAATTTGACTTTCTCGTAGACATTTTTTTTTTTCGATAAAGGTAGACAAATGTATGAGGAATCTTATATTACATTTTCAAATATTAGATTTAAAAAGAAAATTTTTTATGAATTTCTAACTTGAAATAATTTGATAATTTCCGTCATTTTTAAGTATTTTGTCAATATTTGAACTCTAAATGTTCATAAAAAAAAAATTGTGACCATGGATTTTTAATATTTTTCATCTATGTTTGAAACAATATATTAGGAGCCTTCTACTAAATCTTTAAGCTTTTGTACCCAACAAATACAATTTTATTGATATTTATAGAAAAAAAAAACTAAAAAAAAATTGAAACTGAAAATATCCGTAAAGAACTCAAAATAAGTCAAAATATTTGTAAAATGGTATGCTGTATAGAAAATGCTAATATAAATATTCAGTCCAAAATTCATGTACCTAAGGTAATTTGTTTAAGAGTTGCACCAAAAACCAAAATCGATTTTTTCGAAAACAGATTTTGCGTACAAATTCCCGTTTTTCCTTAATTTTTCTTTTGTTTTTCAAGGCGCTTTTGAAAATTACTGAGACATTTTTACTTTTGACCTCCCAAAGTACCAACTAGTTTCACTTTCCTGACAGAAAAGATACTGTTGAAGAAAATCAAATACATTCATCGTTTCACTCAGAATCTAAAATGTAAAATAATAATATGTAGGTATAACTTATAAAAATATATAATTCACACTACACAGAACCATTTTTTTAAGCATGCTCACCTTCATTTATACCTTTAATAATACTTTTATTCAAATTCTGATTTTATAAGTATGGGGTGTTTTTCCTGAACATTTTAAAGTATCCAAATCAAAATTCTAATAAGTAGTTTCTGAGTTAATATTCATACTAAAGATAATAATCCTTAAATATGGTTTTACAAAAATATAAGCTATATTATGTAGGTAGTATTTGTTATACTTCAATCATTTTTACAAATTATTTATATTGGTAGATCATTAGTAATTACTAACATTTTCAGATCATCTAAGTCCCCAAATCTATACTTAACCTTGTTTCTGATCGAGTTTCAATTAAAATTTTAATAACAACATAGTATATTTCTGGATTATTTCAATAGGCAACCAATTATGGTGCTCAAATTATCGTTTGATTAAATTTGGTAACGTTGGAAAAAAAATAAAATTTCGAGCGTTCTCAATCGTGTTACCAAATATGCGGTTCTCAATCGTATTTTACCGGTTTAAAACGGCGATTTTGTGACATTTGAACAGTTTATTCTTCTGCTTTACACCTGTGTATATCATGTATAACAATATTTATGTAGCTCGTACGTGGTGGGATGTCGAATACCTATCGTATTATGCAGACAGCTTTTATAAATATTTGACAAGAGTTAAAAATATTAAAATGTTTTTTCTGGTTGTACTGATCTATCATGAATCAATCGATCGGCCATCACTCTATAATATTACCATTGTATATAATAGTACCACTTGGAGTGAGAACAGTAAATGTTAATTGGCACGTGAGTGGTGATGTTGGTACTTACTGATATATTTCATCAAAATTATAAAAAAAAAAATATCTGAATTTATAATCGAAACAAAATATATTTTAAGTATGGTTGATGGTCGCATCATTCTAAATATTACGTTAAATACTTGTCTAAGATAACTGCTTGGATATCGATATTATCAGGGTTGGGCAGTATGTTCGACACATGTACCTTAAATACGTATTTAAAAAAATATATAATTGTATCCCGAAATTGTTATGGGGAATATTGAATATTTTGTGTTGTGGTACAAAGTTTTAATTCACGTGTCGAGTGTTTCATAACATTATTTCATCAAAAGATACTTCGATAAACTAAAACGATACCTACTTAGATACATTAATTTATTTTCTTAAGATTAACAATTAGTATTATCATAGAAATGGCTATAGTGCTTATTTAGCTTGCACATATTTTTTGTCTCCATTATATTGTTTTAGTGATCGGTGTGACGGTGTTGATATCATAACTCCTAAGCTGGTCAAATACGACCCTTATAATCGTAGTGAATATTTGTCAACCGTTGTGCTTTACGAGTCATACAACTATTCGAGGTATAGGAGGTATTTAATCGTAAGCCATGCTTAACAAAGCATAACCATCATATTTTTTTTACTCGCTGAGTCACTTTTGGTTTCGCATTCATTGTAGCAATTTATTAAATATTTAAATTTTTTACACACACCAGATCGGGATATTTATTATGGTGTCTCAATTATACTTTCAGTGTCTGTATGTTAACAACCCTGAAGAAATAGTTTGTTTATCCTATTAATTTTAGATGGAAAATATTTGAAAATATGAAAAACCACAGACAATTATTATTATTATATTTAAATAGTAACAATATGTAATAACATAATATAATTATTAAATTATATTTGTTAAGATAATAAAATAAAGTGTTATTTATCTTTTACCGAGTACCTAGTGGTTTGCATGTTTCACTGTTTGGCTACCTTCTTAAATTATTACAAACTAGCTTTTCTTGCAATATTATTATACACATTTAAAATATATGCAGTACTTATAATTAACATATAACTACTAGCTGATCCCGTGCACTTCGTTACCCGTTAAATGTATCAACTCTATATGACTCAAACTTTGTTCAATTCGTTATTTAATATTCAGTGTATGGTGTTCAAAATTTATCTTAACTTTTCCGTTGCCCGGAATAAAAATTCTGATTCACAGCAGTACCTATATATTATCAGGTAGGCAATCTACCAGCTGCGGTAGATTGCGGACCCCGTGATATTTGTACGTAAATGTATGATTTAACCCTATAAAGTATTAAAGTTATACTAAGGTTGTCGCTCTTACTTAGTTCTACCTACGGTAGATTAATATAATCAATTTATACAAAATCATATCCTAACCTAACCTTACTAAAATCCGATGAATAAAAAAAAAACAAATTTAACCCTTTTTAAATTAACCTATCTTCTTCCCAGAGGTATAATATACCCACAAAGTATCAAAGTTATACCAAGAATGTCACTCAACTCCTACTAAACGGCTGGACTAATTATGAATGCCGAGTCTGTCGACCAATATTTCCTCCTCATCCAAGAAGACGTGGCATTGTTTTATGTACGTAACTTATATGTGAGTATAATAAGGTCAATATTTACCTAATTGCGACACACATAATATCAAAACATAGAATACAAAAAAATTAAATGTATTGAATGAATACACTTATTTCACGGAAACCAATAATAGCTTATAATAGTTTTAAAACCCATGGCAACCATTTATAAACAAAAATGTCCACTGTAAATCTCTAAATCCCCGTTTGAGCACATCCCCTGATTGGACATAGGGTGATGATTTGTTGGTGATATCTTATTCTGATGTATAAGCTATATTATTGTAAGGTTTCATTAAAAACCATTCAGTAGTTTTTACGTGAAAGAGTAACAAAGTCACAGACTATTGTATTTATAATATTAATATAGGATAATAATATAATGTAGATATGTAGTCAAATCAAATTAATTATTTTAATTGATTATATTTTAATATACATCCACTATCAAGTACATATCTATAATATTTAACTCAGAAGTTTTCATGCTTTTTTTTGAAATATTGCAGATTATTGAGCTCTTCATAAAATGTTTACGTCACATGCCTCAGATATGATCAAATTATTATTCAACAATTTAATTTAATTTTTTCAACCAAATTAGATAAACTAAATTATACATCAACATTCATTAATTTATATATTTTCATTATAATAAAATAAAACTTTAAAAAGTTCGTGGCACACCTAGAGAATAATCGCAGCACATCGGTTGTAAACTTCTGATCTATATAATAATATAGTATCAGTTGTATCACGATATTCCATGGACAAGCATCTATATAGTATCCTCTGACCCAACCCTGATAATGATACCGTACTCCTGTGGGTACTCGTCTTAATGACTCACGGGTGGATTTACCGTGTATAATAATATTATAATCTCATCTACCGTCTAATTCGTGAACCGCAGATAATAATATTATAATCTTGACCCCCACACTCGTCCAGCGCGGTCGTGTGGCAGAAATCGTTTACTATTAAATATCGTAAAAATACCAAAAAAATCGGCAATAATTGCTGCTGCCATGCCTCGTCATAATATATTTTTGTACCTCGCACCACGTCCGGGTCTCCATCTCGTTCGTTGCCGCCAGTTCGTCTGCGAGTGATGGGCAATCCCCAGCATACGGCCATCACGTGTGTCAGACGCATGTACCCGTAACAGTCGTCGACGTCGGTGCGCTTATCGATTGTTTTCATTTCACTGCCGAAAATGCTCAAACGGGTCGACGATAAAGATATTATTATTGTGTCGACGGGTGTGTGTGGTCTCAGGTCCAAGATGAGATTATACCTGCATAACCCGAAGATCAGCTCTGTGGCAGTCGCAGCAGCAGTCGAGGTGCAGTGTTATAAATTAATAAAATATATATTATAAAACTGGTCGGACTCCAACACAATAGCGATGATATTTTGTGTACGATTTCTTGACTGCACGTCGAACGGATTGACGACAGGTAATGATGATTTTTTTCAACTCCCCAAAATCGTTCGACATCGGTAAGTTTTTCCGAAAGCCTACATTCGGGTATTACAATAACGACGTGGGGGCGTGCACGTGGTGTCCGCGCTCTGTGCCGTATTACTATATCCATAATATTAAGTCAATATGCGCATATTTCCGTCTAAAATAATATATTGTGTAGAAATACGTGATACTTGGATATTGTGTAACGTATATATAGTGATCGATCGGTGTGCGTGTGTATAATTTACGACCGTATATACATTGTACGACACATATATTTTGTCGTTATTAAATATTTAAAGGGTACATTGTTCGACGAAATTAGTATTGACTTAAATTTGGGCTTTTGAAACGATGACGCCTGCAGCCAGTTCGTTTCAAATGTTTTGATTTAAACATTTCAATTCATTTTGACGTTTTCAATATTATTATTTTGCAACCCTATAGGTTTGATGTATTGCATATATTTTGCATCTCGATTGAAATTAAATTACATAGGTATATAATATTATACTGTTATCAGGATTTAAAAAAATGTCCACATTATTCCATATTTTACTATACTTACTATAACAAATTAATATTTTATTGCGTTTCAATCGTCATTATTGTTATTACTTCGATATTCATTTCAATGCACTAAGAACTGAAGAATAAACAAAGAACAATTAATGTGCACTTTAAAATACTAAAAACTCGAAATTATATTATTTATAACTATGTTAGTAGAATATGCCAAGTAAAAATGTATTTTGAATTTTTAAATAAACCTTTGTTAAGATAACGTTTCTTGTTATCATTTTAGATAGTGGTTATGCTCTAATAGTCAAATATAATAATTAATTATCAATAGCAAGACGATAATAGTAGATATTAGATATAGATAGTAGATATTAGTAAGTAGGTACATAATATTTTTTATACCTATCCTTATTTATAGAAAACTGATTGATAATATAGCATCAATCTGAAAAAGTATTTGAATTTTGAAATCAAAGTCAAGTTGTGTCAAGTAGTTTAATGTTAACTAGAAATAGAATTATGGCTTATCTTGAGCTAATATAAAAATATAATATTTAAAAAATAAAAAACAGCCATAATAAATTACTTAAATAATTTCAATGTAGATCGTTAATTAGTTCATAGGCCAACTCTGGTAATTTATACATACTGTTGATTTAAATTATTTTTGTTTCTAAGATTCCAACAAAGAAAAATCTATTCAATGTAGAACGTACCCACTATAATTAACAATTTTAATGTCCAACAAATATACTTTTTTTATTATTATTAATTAATCGTCACCATTTTTTTTTACTGTCGGGGATTGTATGGTTGGTTTGAACACTTGTATATATGGCGAGGATTTCTCACAAAAACCCGCGTGGTCACCCATTCGGGAACTAGTGACACCGGCTGGTACTTGCACTCAGAACACGCTTTGTGACTAAGAACAACCACAACGCTACACCAGGTCACAAACGTACTTTTATATAATATTTTCTCGAAGAGAATATTGTGGTCAATAAAAATATATAGTAATATAATATATCCATTTACCGAAAGATGGTAACGTTGTAATGTTTTAAACAATTGAAACAATATAATATTGTACAATCATAATTATACCTACCCATTGTAAATATAGGTACCATATTACACTAAGTAAGAATGCAATTAATTTTTTACTTAATTAACAAAACACCTTTTACTTAGTGATTTTCTAAATTAAAATTCTATTCAAATGTTTGGTATGATTACCAAAAATATTATAATGATACAAATACATTTTAAAAATCCCAAATATTCTTTTATATACCACCTGCTTATATATATTTAACGTATATTTTTATTGCTGTGTTATAAAAGATATTTATTTTTTTAATAAAAATACTTTATAAAAACATACACTTTTATAGGATACATATTGTAATTTATAATACCTCTAATAAGCTCCTCGATAACAGTTCACATTCGTAATCAACATAGTGATTCAGATGTAAAATTTTTTATTGTGTTAATATAATTTAATTTTTTTTATATTCTGTAAATATAATACAAGTTACCACACTTCATATTACTCTGCATTTAAAATATATAACAATATATAGTATTAACTATAAAGTTAAAGAATATATATATTTATTTTTAAATTAAAAGAGGATATAATCGTAAAAAGTCATAGAGGCACAGACAAACAAGAAAAGTCAAATAGCTGAGAAGACTGATTTATTTTGCAATGTACATAATATTAATTTACATACATATTGGTATAATTACATATTATTGTAATGTTTGGGCTATGGCATTTTTGAGTTTGTAACGTATGAACTACATAGTGAATTAACAGTTCTGAAACAAAATAATAAACAAAGATATTGTAATAAATATTAATTTTAACTTCCAAGTCATAATAGGTATAGTTTTTAGTAATAGCTAATTACTGAGGAATAAACATCAATACTTGAACCATTGAATCACATATGCTGTAAGTTATAAACTTATAACTGTAGTATATTACGTTTAAAATGCATTTTTGCGAGTGGTTAATATTATTATACAGGTTTCTACAATCTTAATCAAAAATAATTCTGTATTTCGATAATTTATATTATTTTCAACTTATTGAAACAAATTTATTTATATGTAGAAACGTAGGTAAAAAAAAATATACTTTACAATATTGTACTTTGTCTATAGCTAAGTTGAGATAAAAAAATAAGTTTTTAAAAGTTATTACGGTATTATATAATTATTCAAAATTAGGTAATTTATTTAAATAGGTACTATATATCTTTGTAAGTATATTTACTGAAATAATTTTCCGATATTAAATTTTGGATTTGTGTAATTTATATACAAATCGTGTATAAGTTAAATTTTATACATAAGTTATATTTTTTTATAGTATTATCATACATAGGTACCTATATATTATTATAATAATATGCTTAGTTACATAGCAGACACTCACCATTAATTGGCTGGTGGCTGGTGCGGCTTTGGCGACCTTGTTGATGGCTCTGGGAGATTGGACTTCTCCGACGACAACGATGTTCATGGATACCTTTTCTGCGCCCATTTTTGGTTTTGGTTGGTTTTGTTGGAGTGAAATAGAGTGAAGACTGCAACGAAAATAAAACAAACGGTTTATAATCTAATAAAAACGTGTTATAACTTATAATACTTATTATAATATACGAATAATGAATATTGAGTAATGATAATATTGTTATTATTGTTTAGTAAGTACTCACCAAAGAATAGATTTGCACAAAAAATGTGTTATGCCGGAATCAAGGATCCGAACGCCTTTTTATACATACATCCGAGGCTGGCGATGAAAGTGGGGCGTCGTGGCGTGACTATATTGATATTATTATTGGGGAAAGATAAAACGCATGTTTGTCTGAATTTTACTCGTATAGTTTCAACGAAACTGACAAATTATAAATTTTTTAATTGAGTGTCTTACAAAGAATAACGTTAGTGAAATTATATGGTTTCAATTTTAAATGTTTTACCCTCATTAAAAACAAAAATGTATTTTATGTCGATGTTAATTCTTATTATAGAATATATTACCTACATCATAACTTTAGAATAAAAAAAATGCTTTATTTATAATACAGAAAACTAGTAGTGAACCTTGGGGGGGGGAGGGGGTGGGGGTTGTATTCAAAAATTCCCCAAATTGAGGCCATTACAGTGTATGAAAAATAACTTTAATTAAAACTCATATCCAAAGGACCATAGTTTCACCTATAATATGATTTTGAAGTTTAATAAATTATCTATGGATTGCATTAAAACCTGCACATTTATTATCATAATAAATAATATACATTGTTTTAAAGTGTATAATGAAATGATTAAATCATAAAAGTCTAATGTTCTATTTTTTTGGTAATTCTTATTACTTTTTAACTGGTAATAATGTCTTACTATTAACGTATGGTTAACCAAACGGTGGTTTGAGATTTTTTTTTTTTTATTATTCGTGTCAGGTGGAGATAGGTTGCGCCTGGGTTTGGAAAAATTAGCCGGTGCAGTGTTTGGAAAACACCGTTACTAGGGGACACCACGTAGAGGTTTCTTCCTTGTTTGAGATTAAAACTGTATATTGTGTTAATTCAAAAAAGTAAAAACTTAAAAAATTATAAAAAAAATTAATTATATAATTTTTTAAAATTTGTTTTTAACGACTAGAAAACATGTACATATTTTTTTTTTAATGTTAATACTTTTGAAATAATGAGTGTTTTTCGTTCAATGGATCATCTATACTATATAGTGTATAGTAAGGTTTAGTAGGTACTATATATTATAGATTGTAGTAAGTTGTACTTGATCAAATTCATGTCCTTCCACTATGTATTTGTCGCAACCACTTGGTCTTAGTAAATTATATTTTTAATGATCTGTATGTACAGATAGTAAAATTTATCCATATATTAAATTTTAACGAAAATATAGGTATATCATCCATTCATCAAATGGATGATACCTATATTATATACTTATTATATTTTATAATAAGTGAAATACATATTACAATGAAATTACTAATTTTTTTTTTTATAAATATGAACAATAATAATATAATTTTAATAGTTTTTTTCTTAAACAAATTATTTCATAAGATGATATATGGGGGGATCTGACCAACATCACTATCATTTATTTGACACCGCTGTATAGATTGAAAACATGGTTGGGTTCGATAATGGGC